TCGCCTGTGACTCATAGTGACCCTATGTACAACAGCCCTAAACCCTGCTCTATCCTGTGCCAATCTTATTGTCTCTGATACACCTACCCTCATTACACCAGTCACTGAATCAATGCGTATCATCGAGTGTTTTCCTCTCTTGCGCTGTCCCTCCCAACCATGATGTCACTCTCCAAGGACTGGTTTCTCCTTGCAACATGCCCAAAGTATGTCAGACGAAGTTTCAGAATCCTTGACTCCAAGGAGCAGCCTGGCTTCACCCTCTCCAGGACAAATGTGTTTGTTCTCCTAACAGTCCATGGCATATTCAATACTGTCCTCTAGCACTACAGCACAAAGGCATCAATGTTTCTTCTATCATCCCTAGTCATTGTCCAGCTTTCTGATGCATAACAACCAATTGCAGAAGATTACCACCTGGATCAGGGGCACCTTAGTCTCCAGACTGACACCATTGCTCTTCAGTACTCTAGAGATATCCCTGACAGCAGACTTTCCTAATGCAGTTCATCTTTTAACTTCCCAGCTTCTGGTACCAAGAGTGTTGATTGTGGAGCCAAGTAAACTAAATCTGTTAATGATCTCAATCTCTTCACCATCTATCATGATGCTGTCAATCAGCCCAGTGGTGAGAATCTTTGTTTTCTTGATGTTGAGCTTCAATCCATATTGAAGGCTGAAGTGCTTGATCTTCTGCAGCAAGTGCTTCAGGTCCTCATCAGTTTCAGCAATCAGAGTTGTGTCATCTGCATAATGCAGGGTATTGATGGGTCTTCCTGCAGTCCTGATGCCACACTCCTCCTCATAGCGTCCAGCCTCCCAGATCATCTGTTTTAGAACATTAATTATAATTGATGTAATCAGTGACGATGTCTGACCAACCTCTTATATTGCCTTTCTTTCATCTAACTTATCTATTTATTACTTTTTACTCTTCTCCCTCCTTTCTCATTCCTGGTAACCACAGAAGCCCATCTTTAGTTTTGTTTTTCCCCACTCAAAGTTAATAATTTCAGAAATGTTACACGCTGTCTTTCATTCCACTATTAATCAAGATCACTTTGATTCCTCCAAAGCTTCTACCATGACTCATCTTAAAACATTTTTAAAAGAACTCACGCTGGTTCACTGCAGTTTTGTCAATGTTGTTCCCATTATGTGCCACCAAGTCAATTGTGACTCAAGTAAAAAGTGATCCTATGAGCACAGAACTGAGTCTTGCCCTATCTTGTGCCATCCTCATTATCTCTAATATACTTGGGCCCATTGTTACGATCACCATGCTAATCCATTTTGTTGAGGGTCTTCCTCTCTTACATTTCCCCTCCACCTTTTCAAGTATGATGTCCTTCTCCAATAACTTGCCTCTCCTAACAACATATTCAAAGTATGTGAGATGAAATTTCACCATCCTTGCCTCCAAGGAGCACTCTGGCTGCAGGTTCTCCAAGATGTAACTGTTTGGGTTTTTGACCCTCCGTGGGATGTTCAGCACCAGAGATCTTTGCATGCTTGGGTTGGACTTGCTGTCCCACATAGCCATCAGCCATACCAGATCTCAAAACCCCACAATTCTCTTTATGCTGAGTGGTTTTAATTTCCAATTAAGTATGGATACATTGAAGATATGCTTCAACTATTTCCCTCATTTTCTGCAAGTTCAGAAAGCTGAATGAGACAGGCAGAATGTACAGAAGCGTGGTGCTTTGGGACACAGGTAGAGGTCTTTCTTGAATGCATCCTGGATGTAAAAGTGAAGTTTTTGCGTTTGGGCAAGATTGGCGATTTTCTCATGTGGGGAAATCCCTGAGGAGGCGCTTGTCCTGATGCTGCCTCAGGGTGCAGCTCAGGGGAAGGCCACCCACAGAAGAGATTCCTGGTCCATTTTGTTGGTCTCAGATGGGAGAAAATGCCCCTCCAGTTCAATGCTGGAGGGCCCAGGGGGCTGGTAGAGAGCAGGGATTATGAGCAGAGTGACCCTGCAGTGGCCACTGAGGCCTGCATTTCCCTGTTGATAGAATGTAGTGTTTCTTTTACCTTTTTCACTGAGCAGTGAGTGAGGTGTTGGGAATATGCTCTTTGTGACTGGAGAACAGTTAGAGATGGAAAGAGTTTATGATGCTCTGGTTGGAGACTGATTACGATTAGTGCACACCCGGGTATTCCTGGCAGTAGGCCTCATGTAACTTTGCGCACTCATTTGTCCTCTGTGTGCCACAAATTTCTCAAGAGGAGAAAGGCAAAATATGAAAATGTAGTGGCGCCAGCAGGGATCAGGGAGTGGAAAGGGGGGCAGGGCATGGAAAAGAACAGCAGGGTCTTCTTTCTAGTCTCTGGAACAAAGACATTGAAGAAAGACTACATGTCGGAAGCTGGGTAAGGAGTACCCCAGACCAGGCATATAAGAAACCCCTCTCGAATATTCCAGAAGCGGCCAGGAAAAGGAACAGGCAAGCAAGAACAGAGGCAGGAGAAGCTTGGTTTCTGGAACTTGTTGGCAGGCGCACGACCCTGCCCCTCGCAGGGCCAGACAGCCGACTGGAGATGCAGACATTTATCGGAAACACCTCGACATGCTGGTGTAGGAAAGACGCACGTCCCTGCGCCCTCCGCAGGGGAGGTGGCTGCAGGGCCCATTTGGTGGCGGCTTTGTCCCGGGCTGCCCGTGAAGGGGCGGCACCCCAATTGTCCACAGGTTATGAAGGGGGCGAGAGGTGCTGGTAAATCTCTCCCCTTATACAGCCATCCACGCCCGGACCCTGTCCCGGGCTGCCTAACCGGGAAACCGCTCCCGCAAGCGACTCGCCCGCTGACCCGCAGGCCGCGCGCGGGGCGGAACCGCCGCAGAGACGCAGACAGGGCTGCAGCGGGAGGGGTGGAGCCTGGGAGGCGGGAGGGGGCGGGGCCATCGAGAGCACCCTGGAAACTGCTGGAAGGATCGCAGCACCTCCACCGCTCCTTCCGCCTGCAAAGAGTCCCCTTACCCGCCGCCCCGCCCCGGAGTGAAACGCAGGCCTTCTTCCACCCGTGGTGCCTGGATCGCCGGGGGTGGGGGGAGGGGCTCGCCCGAAATTCCATCCCAAATTCCATGCACTCTCCTAAGGAAGCCCCGTTGCTTTATCAAGATGTATTAAGGACTGTAGGTGGATGGCGCCTGCGAGCCTGCTGCAGGGTGGTGAGCCACCTACACACACCTCTGGCACTACACGGAAGGCTCGCTTCACGAGTGCTCCCTTCTAAAACAGTCTGCTCCTCTAAAATAGGGTCCCCTACGTGTCTCTTGAGTCTGATTTTCTCGGGTGTGGGAGCTGCTCCCTAATCTACCAAGTTTTTTTAGGTCAGTAGGAGCTTTGCTGTTCTAATCCACCGTTTATACTATATGAGCATCCTTAATCCCTTAACCTTGATGGCCTCAAGCTCTTCACCTGCAGGGAACAGACCGTGAGCACAAACCAAGCCTGCACAGCCTGCTGTCTTGACGCAGCGAATGAGCGTGTGCGCAGCCAGTTGGCTTCCTTCGGCCTCCTCGCCCCAACAGAGGACAATGACGTCAAGGTGGGCGGGTGGCCGCAGGTGCGGCTGCTGAGGGGCGTCGTCCTTTAAGGCGGAGGGATTCTGAGGCTGTGGTGCGGCTTATATATACCGAGTAGGGGGCTCACAGCAGCTCTCTTGAGTCACCCCCGCGCAACTTGCTGTTCTCGTGCGGCCTGCTCTTAGACTCTGCCCTCGCCTCTTTGGTACTTGGAACCCTTTTCATCAAGGTAAGGCCTGAGATCTTTTCCCCAGCTATTCTTTCTCAGCTATTTAATTGCTTTTATTCTTGTTTCTCCTTTTAAGCTCTTCTTCTCTTCCATTGTGCTAAGGCGGCCTTGGGACCGCGCTCGGTTTATCCAGGTTGCGGATCTGCAATTTCGCTTGACTTTGGTTTTCCCCTTGCCTCTTGTTGGGGAGCGGAGTTTGGCTGTAGTGAGAAGCAGCCCGGGGCTGTATGGGTGGTGGCGTGAGGGTAGAGTGGTGGTCAGCCGCACGTGGTGGCGGCGCCGCACCGGGACGCTGCCATGTTGGCCCCTTCACTTCCGGACGCGGCTACGGGGCGCGGGAAGGCTCTCGGGTGCGGGGGTGCGCGTCCTTGCGGCGACTGGGCGCAGCCCGCCGGTGGCCGGCCTCGCTCGCAGGACGCGCTGCTCGAGCTCCGTGCCTCGTTTCTCGGGGCGAGGACACGCCGAGTCTCGTCTTCCTCCCAGTTTCGGGGGGGGTGGGGTGGGTAGGCTCTGGAAGGTTCTCTGCCTCTCCCCGCCCCTTGACGAGCGCAGGGATTGTTCTGGAAGCTTCTGGGGCCCTGCGCCCCGCCCCGGTGCCCGGATGCTGGGCGGAGGCAGCTGCGCGGCGGCGCCCCCTCCTCGCGTGGCCGCGGCCGGCGCATGTCCGGCAGTGACGAGGGTCGGCCCCGCGGACCGCCACCATCTTGGTCATCTTCGCTGGGGGGGGTCACGCCTCCCGGTTCTTTGTCCTGATCCAGTTGCGCTCTCAGTGGGGTTTCTATTTCACACATTACCTTCCTCCCCGGGCAACAAGAAGTCCATGCACAGTTACTTAATAGGACTAGTCCTAATTCAATGCTGATGCAGTTTTAACTCTTTGTGAAGGCTTTTTTTTAAACTCACGTAGAAAAAAACCAATTTCATGGTACTGTGTACGTCTAACCGTGTAGGGCTTTCCCCTGGCATTAACAGTGGCTGGGTGACACTGGTATTTTTTTAACAGGCCGTTTACTCATGAGCTAACAAAGCACTGTAAGAGAAATCTTTTCCCCAAAAAAGTAAATTTTGTTAAAGTGTTGGTTTGGGTATTCCTTAATTGGTTTTTGCTTAATTTGCAGTCAAGGATATTTACAGAAAAAGATCCTCTTACTTGGAATGGGGAGCAGCCAGGTGAAAGACCTTTTAGAGTTTGGTTTTTTTTTTCTCCTTTTAAGAAACGGTAACTGGACTTTTAAGGATCTGGGGTAGGAAAGCAAATCCTGGAAATGATGTTCTAATGTAATTTCTGATTACTATTGCAGATGCCTGAGGAAGTGCACCATGGAGAGGAGGAGGTGGAGACCTTTGCCTTTCAGGCAGAGATTGCCCAACTTATGTCTCTTATCATCAATACCTTCTATTCCAACAAGGAAATTTTCCTTAGAGAGTTGATCTCTAATGCTTCTGATGTGAGTGTTCTGGACTTATTCATTGGTGTAGCCTTTGAGCAACCTAGAAAAGGGAAATGGGTCATTTGCCATTTTGTGGGGGCTGTTATTTTTAAATGAAAAACAGTCCTGGTAGCACAAGCGTTTGCTTTACATATCCTGTGGCTGCAACTTTTGGGCACTTCTGTGGGAGAAAAGACAGATCTGTTCTTGTAAAGGTAACAGTAGTGTTCAAATTACTGTAGAAGATTTGGACAGAATGGGAGTATAAAAGTCAAAACAATTTGTAATCCTCAAAAAGGCCAAATCTTGGTCTCAGAAAAGCTGTTGATCTTTATTGAGGGGAAAGGGTAATAGCCTAGGGAATCTATGGGGACATTTTACTAAAGTGGGCAACACAAGTTGGAATACAACCACTGAAGGTTGTAAAATAACCAATATATGGCCATTTTGAAGGTGGGAGAGGGCTTGGCGACTACCTTGGATGCCACTTGGGCAAACAGGCTGATGAATGAGTAACTGGCTTTTAAGTAGGCAACAATTTGATGCTTGCATTTTCAGGCATTGGACAAGATTCGCTATGAGAGCCTGACAGACCCTTCCAAGCTGGACAGTGGGAAAGAGCTGAAAATTGACATCATCCCTAACCCCCAGGAACGTACTTTGACTCTTGTGGACACAGGCATTGGCATGACCAAGGCTGATCTCATAAATAACTTGGGAACAATTGCCAAGTCTGGTACCAAAGCCTTTATGGAGGCTCTGCAGGTATCTTCCATTTGTCAGGTCTATATCATATGCATTTGTATTTTTCATGTTCCAGTTTTTAAAAAAAATTGTTTAAATTCTCATCAGGCTGGTGCAGACATCTCCATGATTGGTCAGTTTGGTGTTGGCTTTTATTCTGCCTATCTGGTGGCAGAGAAAGTGGTAGTGATCACAAAACACAATGATGATGAGCAGTATGCCTGGGAGTCGTCAGCTGGGGGTTCCTTCACAGTTCGTGCTGACCATGGTAAGTACAGTGTAGTCTGTTAAAGATCAAATTGGTTAAAATTTTCTGTGGTGGTTTGCAGGCTTGAGAAATGAAGTTGCTTCTTGTAGAGTCATTAGTTTTTAGATGGTTATATGTTTAGTCTTAATCTATTTAGTAAATTTTACTGGACCTCTTTACTAGGTGAGCCCATTGGTCGGGGTACTAAAGTCATTTTGCACCTTAAAGAAGACCAGACAGAATACTTAGAAGAGAGACGAGTCAAAGAAGTAGTGAAGAAGCACTCACAGTTCATAGGCTACCCCATCACCCTCTATGTGAGTATGAGCTTGGGAAATGTTTGGGGATTTTGTTTTTTGCTCGTGTGTTCTTTTTTCGGGAAAAGTATTTTAGGAGTTCTTAGAAGTGAATTTATTTTGACATTTACAGCTGGAGAAAGAACGAGAGAAGGAAATCAGTGATGATGAGGCAGAAGAAGAGAAAGGTGAGAAAGAGGAAGAGAAAGATGACGAAGAGAAGCCCAAGATAGAAGATGTGGGTTCAGATGAGGAGGATGACACTGGTAAAGACAAGAAAAAGAAAACAAAAAAAATTAAGGAGAAGTACATTGATAGGGAAGAATTGAACAAGACTAAGCCCATTTGGACCAGAAATCCTGATGACATCACACAGGAGGAATATGGAGAGTTCTACAAGAGTCTCACTAATGACTGGGAAGACCACTTGGCAGTCAAGGTTAGAAAGCCTCCATGTTGGCTTAATATTAAGACAGATGGAACTGACTCTTTGGGTTTGTGCTGGGACTTGTGCTAGGCTATGGAACCTTAGGTCTATTCCAGAGTACACCCCATAATGGTTTTCATATAGCCAGGGTTTTTGTTTCTTGTATGTACTCTTGGATTTTGAATGACCAGTGTCAGTATCTGTTCACAGAGGCATAAAGGGTTTTCTTCTAGTAGGTAGGTAGTCTACGTATTTACACATAGTCATCCCTGATACCTAGGAGGATCTTTGTTCCAAACAGTATTGGATATTTTTTGGTATTGAACAACAACAAAAATGATTTTACCCAGAATTAATGCTTATCTTGGCTTTTCTTCCTTTAGCACTTCTCAGTAGAGGGCCAGCTGGAATTCAGGGCATTGCTCTTTATCCCTCGCCGGGCTCCCTTTGATCTCTTTGAGAACAAGAAAAAGAAGAATAACATTAAACTTTATGTTCGTCGTGTGTTCATCATGGACAGTTGTGATGAGTTGATACCAGAGTATCTGAGTGAGTATACTTGTGGTCCAATACATTTAATTAGTGTTAGGACACCATGTCAGTGGGGTTAAAGTCTTAATTAAGGGTCTTTTGTAACAAGGGAGCGCGGATGGCTTTGGTTTGCTGTTAACGAGCTGCACTGTTCAATCCAAAGAAAGGTGGTTTGAATCCACCATGAGAAAGATGGGCAGTCTTTTTCCACACTACTTAACAATACCTCTGAAAACCCACTGGAGGGTTAGCTATGAATGAGTTGCTTCTGGCTTCGGACAAATAATACATAATGTGTTCCACATTATTAAAGTATTGAAGGTACTGCCAGTATGTTGTCTTTTTGTGTGAACAATGCTGAGGTTTTGCCTTGGTTTACTTCAGACTTCATCCGTGGTGTGGTTGACTCAGAGGATCTGCCCCTCAACATTTCTCGTGAAATGCTGCAACAGAGCAAAATCTTGAAGGTCATCCGCAAAAACATTGTCAAGAAGTGCCTTGAGCTCTTCTCTGAGTTGGCAGAAGACAAGGAGAACTATAAGAAATTCTATGAGGCATTCTCTAAAAACCTGAAGGTAATGCAAAACGCTTATTAATGACACTGTTCATCTTGGGGGTGTTTTTTACTCACAATCCAAACTAGGGCAAGATGATTTCCATGTAAGTTGAGTGTTTTGTGTTCCCTTTCCCAAAAACTACAAAGCTTGGGATACATGAAGATTCTACTAACCGGCGTCGCCTTTCTGAGCTACTTCGCTATCACACTTCCCAGTCTGGAGATGAGATGACCTCTCTCTCAGAATATGTGTCCCGCATGAAGGAGACCCAGAAGTCCATTTATTACATCACTGGTATGATGGATCCTTTTATCTGAACATGGAAGCTTTGCGGGAGGTAGGGCTTAACCTGGGGGCTGACAGCTTGAGACTTAAACCTCACTTGTAATAACCCTACAGGTGAGAGCAAAGAGCAGGTGGCCAACTCCGCTTTTGTGGAACGAGTGCGCAAGCGGGGCTTTGAGGTTGTGTATATGACTGAACCTATCGACGAGTACTGTGTGCAACAGCTCAAGGAATTTGATGGGAAAAGCCTGGTTTCTGTCACCAAAGAGGGCCTAGAACTACCTGAGGATGAAGAGGAGAAAAAGAAAATGGAGGAGAGCAAGGCCAAGTTTGAGAATCTCTGTAAGCTCATGAAGGAAATTTTGGATAAGAAGGTCGAGAAGGTAAGCAGTTTATAATACTAGGTTAAATTACATTGGTAAAAGTTTGTGGAGTTGCTCCTTACCCACCATTTATTGTAAACAACTGGCCAATCAGACTTAGTTTTCATGAAGTTATTGAGTAAATATTTTCAGTTGGCATCTTCATTTTGTCCTATTAAGGATAGGAATTGGGTTGATCATTCAAGCCTGAGGGTGGTTTTTTTTTTTTTGTATCCACAGGTGACAATTTCTAATAGGCTTGTATCTTCACCCTGCTGCATCGTGACTAGCACATATGGCTGGACAGCCAATATGGAGCGGATCATGAAAGCACAGGCACTTCGGGACAACTCGACAATGGGCTACATGATGGCTAAAAAGCACTTGGAGATTAACCCTGATCATCCAATTGTTGAAACACTGAGACAGAAAGCCGAGGCAGACAAGAATGATAAAGCTGTTAAGGACCTGGTGGTGCTGCTGTTTGAAACCGCACTGCTCTCTTCTGGTTTCTCCCTTGAGGATCCCCAGACTCACTCCAACCGCATCTACCGCATGATCAAGCTAGGCTTAGGTGAGAGCCTTGGCACACTTGGTGTAGACAGTGTGGGTTGAGCTTGCCTAATAATGGACAACTTTTTAATGCTATTTGGTCCAAGTTGTGGTTTGTTTTTCTTTTTAACCTTTAGGCATTGATGAAGATGAGGTGACTGCTGAGGAACCCAGTGCTGCTGTTCCTGATGAGATCCCCCCACTTGAGGGTGATGAGGATGCATCTCGCATGGAAGAAGTCGATTAAAAGTTCCTACTGTAACACCCCATTGCCCCTGTATAGCATCCCTGTGTCTCCCACAGCAGCCTTGAGTTGCCCTCTCCCATCTGCTGATAGCTAGTATTTTTCTTTCCTGTCCTGTGTGTTAAGACAGGATGTAACTCTGGCCTCAACCTCAAGAATGAGGGTGGGATATTGTGTATTGTGAGTTTTGTTTATTTTGTTCTGAAAATTAAAGTATGCAAAATAAAGAAGATGACATTTTATACAGTTCTGTTTTCCCTTGTGGATATGCTGCTACATTTCATGTTTTATTTTGTACAACTTTGTTGTAGTCTGTGGTGGGGCTTCCAAAAGCATATATATATATGTATTTAAACAAAAACACAGGATCCTTGTTGCATTTTAATAAAATAAAATTTTAAGAGCAAAAGTTACATTTTCAAAGTACCAAAACCTGCAAAAATGGGAGGGTGCTGTGTAGGGTTCAGCACCATCTTCCCCACCTCCCTCCCTGGAGAGCAGCAATGGTGCCTGTATTAACATTTGTGCTTTTCTCACCAAAGAAAGGCCTCTGGGACCATATTCAAGGTGGGAAAAAGCCAACAGCTTCAGGTTAGACTTCAGAGTTCAAGGACTGGGCCTTGGAAGACTTGCCTACTCAATGGCTTAAGGCAAAAGGGGGGGGGTTGCCTCCTGGGGGGTTTCTGTTCTCTAGCTGTACTAAGGTGGTTTGTGATACTGAGAAAAAAACTTAAGCATTTTTGCCCTTAAACCAGCCACCTCTTGAGAAGTTAAAATAGGAGTGGTGTGAGGGTCCTATTTGTATCCCTCTACTCCTTACACCTTTTGCACCGGGGACTCCATGGGCACAGCCTTCTTCCCCCTCTGCTTTAGGCGATTCCTGGCATAAACCCGGAGAAACAGAGCAGAGAACACTACAGCCACACCCAGCCCTCCAACCACAGTGACTGTGTGGCCATAAATGAGGCAGGAGAGGAGAATGGCAATGGCCTGGCGTAGGGTCATGATAATGGTGAAGGTGGCAGCTCCGAACTGCCCAATAGTGTAGAAGATGAAGAGCTGGCCAAAGGCTGAGCAGATTGAGAGCAGCAGAGCATGGGCTGCAAACTCACTGTGTCGCCCCATGAAACGGGTCCCCTCCAGGAGGGCCCCCTGCTGCAACAATGAAATCACGGTGAAGAGGCAGGAGAAGAAGTTGACCCCAAACATCATTTGTACTGAAGACATTTTGTAGGCAAACAGGGCATCCTGCCAGTTTGAGGTGAAGCTGTCAGAAGCTATGTAACCTGTCAACAGGATGAGTCCTGAGAGCGTCGTAGCTGGGGAACTGCGAGGCTCTGGTCCACTGGACAGCAAGAACATGCTGACCCCAATAGAGATGAGGCCTGCTGTCAGGTATTCCCAGTGCTCATAACTGCGCCGAGATACCAGCTTTCCCATAAGCATGACAGGAATCACTTTGGAGGCCTTGGCCAGCACCTGGGTGGGGAAGCTGACAAACTTGAGAGCTTCATACTGACACCAGCTGCTAATTATGTTTGACAGGCTGGCATAAGAGTACCGGTACATCGGTGCTCCGTGTCGAGGCTGCTTGCAGAGCATACAGTAGAGGCCAGCCACCATCAGTGCCAGCACACGGTTCATCAACACCAGGAACTGTGAGTCCGTGAAGCGCTCACCTGGTGCTGTGGCTGTGGCCCCATAATTGCGGGTCATCACTCTTTCCTGCAGCACACCCCAAGTCAGATAGAACACCTGGCAGGGGAGAAACGAAACGGGCCAATGAACAGAAGGAAAGGTGGGGAAAATGGATCTCAACTTTTCTCTTCCTGAGGATGTCGTCTAGATGATTGAAAAAAGTGTGTGTGTTAAGGATACTATTGAAAAAATGGTAATCCCAAAAACTGTGTGTGTGTGTGTGTGTGTATAAAAAACACTAAGGATACTATTGAAAAAATGGTAATCCCTAACACTTAAGTACCAAGGGGCAGTTGTGTAAACAGAACAAGGGAATACTGCATGGCTTAAAATCAAGAAAGGTATGCATCAAGGTTGCATCCTTCCCTCCATGCCTATTCAATCTGTATGCTTAGCAAATAGAAACTGGACAGATGAAAAATGTGGCATTTACGACTCTGGAGGAAAACCTTGTATTATGAAGATGACACAACTTTGGTTACCCTGGGGGCTGACAGCTTCAAAGTGAAGAAGACTTGAAGCACTTACTGCAGATCAAAAGACTACAGTCTTCAATATGGATTACATCTCAATTCAAGAAAACAAAAATCCTCACCAGTGGGCAACATCAGGATAGATGGAGAAAAGACTGAAGTTGTCAATTTCATTTTACTTGGATCCACAATTAACGCTCATGGAAGTACAAGTCAAAAAAATCAAGACGTGTTGCATTGGTGAAATCTGCTGTCAAAGACCTCTCCAAAGTGCTGAAGAGCAAAGATGTCAGTTAAAAAGACCAAGGTGCACCTGATCCAAGCCATGTTATTTTCAATTGCTTCCTATGTGTCTGAAAGTTGGACAGTGAACAAGGATGACATAAGAAGAATGGATGCCTTCAAGTTTTGGTATTGGAGAAGAGTAATAAATAGCCCATGGACTGCCAAAAGAACAAACCAGGTGTCTTGGAGAAAGTGTGACCAGGATGCTCCTTCACGGCAATGACTGGAACTTTGTCTCACACACTTTGGGCAGGCTGTCAGGAGGGGTCAGACCTTGGGTAAAGTACATCATTCCAGAAAAGGAGGGGGCATCAGAGAAAGAGTGGAAAGACCCTTAACTAGATGGACTGACACAGTGACTGCACCAATGGGGTACATGGAAGATTTTGAGGGTGGTGCAGTAAAGGGCAAGTTTCAGATCTGTTCCTAGTGTCTCTATGGAGACAGTGGATACAATGGCACATAAGAATAACATACATCTTTGGTTCCTTTGTACTAACAAGTTTCCTCTTTTCTCTCAAGCATGGACTATGTTTGCTAAGATTCAGCTTGTAACAAATCAAATGTGACAAATGCTCTAAGACTATCCAGGTCTTCTCTGGCTCCAAAGTTTGGGCATGATGGACGTACCTCCACTCAAAACATTTTCCTATTCTGAACCAGTTCAGGGAGAGTTGGATAGCTTGGTGCATCATGACATGCAAGGTGGGACTATCACTCACTCTCAAGCGTTAACGTCCTCAGCATCTTACGACTCTCATATGCAGTTCTGGGGAATGAATGAGTGCTCATTCCCAAGCAGGGCCTGTGCAAGGAAGCATGCATTAACTAAACAGTAGGCATTAAAGAAAATAATGTCTCTTTTACTTTCAGATCAGTGTTAAGAGAGGGGAAGGAGGAAGAAGAAAGAAAAGGCAGTATTTCCTTCAGCTTCCTTGGAGAAGATGCTGGTGCAGTATGTCCAAAGAGCAGGGGGAGAGGGATATACAACACATCAACTGGTGGATTGGCAGACCTGGCACAGTAGGAGTGCTATAGCAAAAACTTTGGTTCCAACCCAACCCAGGAAGGAAAACCCACCTATTTACCTACCTGGAGGCCAGTGGCACAGATGACCAGTTTCAGAGCCTGCCAAATAGGGGTGGTCTCTGTTGGCTCTGTCCGAGGAGTCAGGGGTGTCTCGTCGGGGGCCTTGGGCTCATTGCCAAAGACAAAGGCTTTCACCAGGGGGTAGCAGAGGCCTCTACCTTTAGAAAGCACACAAAGTCATGCTCCAAATCTTTACCACTGCACCTAATTTTCCCCAGAGTAGCCAGCCACCCTGCCCAGTTATACTGCCTGCCCGCCTCCCCAGCTCATACTTCCCTATACCACATCCGCCTGGACATCTGGCTAGCACCGGAATGCCACACCTGACATACTTCCCCACCCTTTCCCCACACACCTGTCTCCAGGTAGTTCGTCCGTCTGAAGTATTGCACTAGGAGGTAGCCAGGCACCATAATACTGGCATAGCCAGCAGCATTCACCAAAAAGCGGAAGAACCAAAGCTGGGTCCATGACTCTGGCGGGGCTTCGGGAGCTTCCCCCCCTGCCTCTAGGGAGGGGAGCAAGGCCAGCACCACTACTGCCCACCACCTGCAGGGGCAGCGGACACGAGGTTTAGGGTGCAGTTTCACATTCACTTGATTCTCCAGAAAGGGCCACAGTGGAGAAGGACCTGGAGTCTGTTCCTCGCCGCTGTCCGCTGCAGCCCAGCCGGACAAAGAGCTTCTCTTTCTCTTTCCCGGGGCAGGGAGGAGGACCGCGCGGGCTGTGGAGGGCCCTCGCTCTCGCCAGGGATGGACCCGCCCCTCTGGCCACACAGGTCCCCTCTGTTCCCTCAAGTGCTCACCGGCAGATGAGGCCTCTGCTCAAGCTGGCAGTGACTCCCCTCCTCACTCCGCCCTCTACGCCAGGGTTCTCCATGCTCTCAATCTGACACTCCCGCAAGGGGCATGCCTCATGTTTGCCCTCCAACCCCGCTTGCTCTGAAGGCGCCAGGTGGGCCTTCTACCCAGGAGCCTAGGACCCCACTCGGCCCCCCGTTCCGAGGGGCGCAGTCACGTGGCTCAGGGGCTCGGTCACGTGGGCGCCATCACTCCCCCTAGCCCCCCACCTGGCGTCCATGGTCCGGGCCGCGTGGGGCGGAGGGGGACCGGGGAATGCAGTCCCCGGACCGGGCGTTCCCTCCGCCGCCTACCGGATCAGCCAGTGAGCGAGCGGCTAGCGGAAGTGCAGCGCTCTTCCCGCCTCCCTCCCTCCCCGCGGTCGCCCCTCCGCTCCCTGTCGCGACCACGCAGCTCCCCAACCCTCCGCCAGGCCACAGCGCCCCCGCGCGGCCCGGAGGGAGACGCGGCTACGACAGGGGGAACGGGGTTCTTCCTGGGAGGGGGGAGGCCGACCTTTGAAGGGCGCTCGCCAGGTGTCTCCCCTTTGCTTGGGGATCGCCTGCAGCCATTATTACTATCCTCCCGGGAGGTGGCGATGACCATTGCCATATTATGGACAAGAGCATTGAGATTCAGGGTTCTGAGCACGTCCTTTTGGCCAGCTGATGAAGCTCCCCCTCCCTTTTCTCTGGGTCAGCAGTTCGGACCCCTACTGCCATGACCTTCGAGGATCTGCTTGACTTGGGCTCTGTCCTCGCCCACTCACCTCGTTGAGCTCCACTAGCCTGATCTCAGTTCCTCTAATTGACCAGAGGTGAATGCTCCTAAATGCCCTCCCCCTCATCCCTTGCTCATTTTATGTCGGAGGTGAAATAAGAGGTCCCTGAAGGCCTTCACCCACTCCGTTTCATTGTATTTTATTTTCCACAGTATTTGTCACAAGTTGTAATTACATATTTACTTAAAAGTTTTATTATTATTAAGGGCTCTCATTTTAATACAAGCTCCAAGTGATGGGAGAATGTTCTTCAGGCCTGTTCAGGTATGACCTAGCAGGGTCTGCTCAAGCAGGTGTGGAAGAAGGGAAAATTTAAAAAGCTCCAGCTCCTTCGTGGCTCACACTCCCTAAAACTAGCCTTTCTCTAGGCTTGTGTCTTCCTAACCTTCTCCTGCATTTCCACAGAAATAATGTCAGAGATGGAATCAAGAAGGGTCTGAGGTCCCTTTCGGGGACCCACTGAGGTCCTACCTTGGCAGGGACAATTTCTCTCCCTCTGCCTTTACCACAAGGTCACAGGGCAGGCGCACACACACATGCACGTGGACAAAGCAACTCACAGTCTCTGCCACTTTAGTGTCATGTTATGGAAACTTCCCTCTCCCCCAAGGCTCATTTCGGCCAGGACCATTTATGTCAATCTTTAAAGACCGATCTGGGAGTTTCAACTCCAGTGAGCTGGGGATTCCCTCCAGGTCATGCTTATCCATATTTCTGCCTCTTCTGAGTCAGGAGAGTCCATGGTTTTGCAGTTGCTGGCAACTCCAGGCTGACCCAATGTAGGTACAAACTGGAGCCTATGTCATCTTCCAGAGGAATAGTCTTCACCCAGGATACCTGAACGTGGGGGATGAGGGATCTTCCAAGAATTTCAATCCACTGGGGAAGCTCTTCCTTCCAGTTTCTCTCTACCTTTTGATCCCTCTTCTTAGTTTAGGACTGTGCTGGCCCCAAGCTGGGGTCCCAGTAGTGTCTCGAGGATACCAGGATGGCACACGGCTTGGGCCCACACAGCAGAAGCTTTTGCTCCAGCTTCTAGACAGGAAGTGGAGGTATTCCAGGGTTCCAGGGCTCCAGGTCCCCAGACCCTCTCTAGACTTCAATCAGCACACCGCAGTGGCTTTCCCGAGATCTTCAGGTCATCGAAGGGCAAAAGGGCAATGGGCTGAGAGAGAAAGAACAGAGAAGCAGAAAATATAAAAGAAAAAGACCATCAGAATACAGGCTTGAGGAGGAAGCTGGACAAAGCTGCTGGGTCACTCTCTCTCCACTGAACAATAATTAAAGGACATCAGGGCATAAGCCTTTCTACTTCCACAAGATAGTGACTCCACTGGCTAGACATAGTCTTGATGTGTAAGATGAGTCTTCATCTGTTTCTTAAAGATATTATCAGAGCTGGGAGAGATCTCAGACTGGCCCACCACACAAATCTGATATTTTGAGGGGTGGAAGAGGGTTCACCAAAGTCATTTTGAATTTTCATACTGAACATTTAAAAAGGAAAATGACTGCACAAGAAAATTCTAGTTTCACGTTTCAAAATATCAGAAGAGCTAGTAATAGGGCACACTCCATCCTCTGTTTACCATCAGCTGACATCGTATCCAGGGGCCCTGGGACATAAACTCTTGGTTTCCCACAGGCCCCACCACCCCTTGTTCTAAATCAGCTTCACTTATTCATGTTAGGACCCCTGGAGAAGTCCCAATTTGGGACCCCTATTCCTTTCCAACCAAGGAAGCAGGCTCAGAGAATGGTTAGTAGCCAAGTCCCTTAATAGATTTTCCAGGGTTCCTAACATCAAGTTGGGATCTTTCAGCTTATTAGAGTGCCTGCCACAGTTCTGGGAGTGGGATGTCCTAGAGAGCAAAGCAAGAGTGTATGCCTCTTACATCCTCAACCAGGTCCTGGGGTGTCTCATCTTCCACATTCCGAAGCAGGGAGTCAGCTCCTGCCTCACACAGAGCAGACCAGATGCTGCGGAGGCCCCGGCCAGCCGCCAAGTGCAGGGGGGTGCACCCATTGAGCATGCGGGCATCCACTCGGGCACCAGCTTGGAGCAGGAACTGCACCAAGCTCCGTTCCTGGGTCTCCACAGCCAGGTGCAGGGCAGTCTTCCCACTGGTGCCCTCCTGAAGGGGAATATGGGCGTTAGGCAGCGTGCTGGGTCTGAGCCATGCATGATGTGCCTCCACTGCTAACTTCAGGGCAGGGGGCCCAGGGCTAAATTAGAAGAGTAAATGCAGGCCCTGGGGGGCAACCAGTGCCCTGACTAGCCACCTCACCTGTGCATCAATGTCAGCTCCACTCTGAAGCAGCAGTTCCATTAGCGGCCGGTTCCTTTTCAGAGTGGCAATGTGGAGACAGGCCAGACCTGGATGGTGGGGAGGGCAGGGAACTACTGATCTGTGCCCCCTGCCAACTCTCTCACTTTCTCTCTTCTCTTCAGAGACCTCCTTACCACCTCAATCCCCAGGGACCCACTGCCCACTCAATGCCTCTGCTCACAGGACTGTTAAAAACGCAGACCCAAAAACCCCCTCAAAAGTCTGAGAGGAAAGGAACTCAAAATTTCCACCTTTTCAGAGTCATGTTATTGAAACTTTCACGGTTCAAGAATCGAGTTGCTGAGAGACTCCTCCCTCCCCCCCCCCACAGACACATTCACAGGCTGCCTTCAAGTCCAGTCCCCAAATCACTGTCTCTGAGAAGCCGTTGGGGGATCCTCACACCCCTACACCCTCCCCAGTTGCTGTTTCTTCCCCTGTGTTCTCCTGGCCCGATCACACTCTGTTTAGAATTAGATTAAGATTCCATTCATGCTCCTTGTATCTGGCTTACTCCATGCCACCCTCCTTGACCTCCTCATTTAAAAATCCAAGCCTCCTACCCTCAATCTCCACCACCCTTATTCCCTTTACTTTTCTACAGCTCTCAACATCTTTCAACACACTACATAATTTACTTCTTAAATCCATTGTCTGACTCAGTCTTTGTTGTGCTCACAGGTGTGTAGGCTCAGCCCCTGCAACATGTCTGACACACAGAAAGCCCTCAGTACATTTCCGTTAAATGAGGGAATTAGTTCATCTAATTTCTACTAAATGGATTATCTTGAGGGCAGGTTTAACTTCCTGCTTAGCACAGAGTTCGGAGCTCCAGCAGCACAGTGGATTAAGTGCTGGGCTGCTAAGTAAAATCAGTGCTTCAAACTCAGTCCCCTCAAGAAAGTCGAGGCAGTCCACTCCTGTCAAGATTTACAGCTTCCTAAACATGATGGGGCAGTTCTAGTCAGTCCTTTAGGATCACCAGGCATTGGGTCAATTTGATTGCAGAGAGCTTGGCATGTTGTTATTGAGTGTGTAACAAATAGTAGGTGCTCAATAACTTCTAAAGCAATCTTTCACTTATTCATTCAGCAAAGCTGGACTAAGTATCTATGGGTTTGGAGCTGGAGGCATGGCAGTGAACAAGCTGTGTGTGGCTCTCTATTCCCTTAGTTGGGTCCCTGTCTCCAGCTCTCTCTATACCCTACAGGGTCCCTCAGTTGCCCATACCTTGCCAGTTTTGTAGCTGGAGGTCCAGGGAGTTAGGTGGGCCTCTGCCTGCCTCTGGCCGTCCCTCCAGCAGGCAACGGGCACAGGCCAGGTGCTGGCGCTGGCAGGCCATGTGCAGGGCTGTGTCACCGTGCAGGTCCTGGAGTGCACGGCTGGCCCCCTTCAGCACCAGAGCCCTAACTGCATTTGGCTGGTCCAGATGTACAGCTAGGTGGAGTGCTGTCTGTGGGCATAAGCAGAGAGTCCAGGACCACTGTGGCATGTTTTAACCTCAGGCAGTATGCTACAGAAGGCCAGAAATTCCTCCTTTGCAGTACCTTTGAGGGTAGTTATAAAGGCCAGAGCCCTGGTTATCCAAGGAAACACTACCAAGCCATTCCCTCTGAGAGTCCCCTAACTCCTGGGGTTCCAATTCTGGCGGCAGGATAAGGGGAGCAGGCCTCTGCTCTGCTTGTGGGCTCTTGTATCCCTGAAGAAAAGTCAGACAGGGGCAGAGTCTAGCCCTTCACCCTCTTAAGGAGAGATCGCTTATTCTTTCCAGGGCCCAGGCTTCAGGGAAGGACCTGAGGAAGAAAAGATAGCCACCTCTTCTTTGAAGGGCCCATTCCAATGTGACCTCTTAAACCAAGTCATTCCTGGCCATGCCACATGGACAGGGAACCCCATAGCTGCTGGTATGTCTCTATCACAACTCTGTCACCATGCTGTGTGACTAGGTGTTGACATGAGTCCCCCAGCTGTGAGCACCTTGTGGGCAGACACGATGTCTAACTCATCTCTGGATCCTCAGCTTCTAGCTCCAGAGTCGACCATATGATTTCTTGGGTGAGCAGCCTAAGGGATTTCCCATGGCCGCTGGGGATGGCTGTCAGGGCAGGTGTGGGTATCCGGGCACAGCCCACCCGCTCTGACTTACCTGGTACAGGTTGTTCTGAATATCCAGGACCTCCTGGGGCAGCAAAGCCAGACAATAGAGCAGCAAGTCAGGAGCCTCATGAATCACTGCCAGGTGGACCAGCCTGGAGGAGGCACAGGGAGAGGACTTGGGGTTAGAGCCAGGCTAGAGAAAGCTGTTCAGGGTTTTGGGGTTAGAAAGAACCCATCAACCAGTAACTAGTCAGCCACTGGGTAGGCACAGGAAGTGAGAGTCTGGGCTAGGAAGTGAGACAAGTGGTGCGAGAAGTCAGGATGCTGGGGGTAAGAGCATCACATTCCCATCTTTGGCCTTTAGGAGGGCCTGGGTTAGGTGGGAATATGGGCAGGGTGCTGGCAGGACAAAGGCCTTCCTGTCCAACACCTGCCCACACCCCACATCCCTCTGTCCCCTGGGCCCCACCAGACCAGCTGCAGCTCAAAGCCAAACTGAAAGCTGCTGGAGGAGCCCAGAGGGGGTTTCCAGACCTGTGCTCCCCACCTCCTACCCTAATAGGCAAGATGGGGGAGGGAGGGAATGTGTGTGGGGCTACCCCACACACACCCCAAAAGCAACCCAATGTTGCACATTCCACAGGCCAGAAAACAGCTCAGAAGGTACAGGAGACATTGCTGCATCCTATTCTATTTCCTTTCATGGGGAATCAAAAGAAGTCCCTCCTGACAGCAGACCAGGTGGGCCGAGCTCCTGTGTGCATCTCTGAGAGGAGATCTGCGGAGTGCAGTTTGTTAGACGGGGTTCAGGACCCCCGGCTAAAGGGGACAACCTGGAATGGAAGTTCCCTTGTGTTGAAGTTTCCCTACATCAGGTGGGGAAAATGAAAGCCCATCCAGTAAGCAGGGTCTGGGCTGGGACAGCTGCCTGGGGCATGAGTGAGGGGCTGGGGCCAGGGCTGCTCAGGCGAGAGGAGGCTGCAGTGGAGGCCAGCAAGAGCAGGAGAGGAACCGTGCTGGAAATCCCCTCGGCCAGGGCCTGCTCTCTGGGTCACATTCCTACAGCCACCTCCCTCTCCCTCTCTCCCCTCCTCCCACTTCCTCTTCCCACTTCCATACCTCCCACAGGCCAGACACCTCAGAAGGGAGGAAAGTGGCTTCTCTCTGGCAAACCCCTGGGGAGTCCTGATCCCTCCCTCCAATCTGAATAAGTACACCTGTTTCTTAAGGAGTGGGAAAGGAGTGGTTGACAAGCTAAGTAAGGAGACCAGGGTTGGAAGTTCCCACTTCCTGGATCAAAGGTCAGCTGCAGATATCCTACACAGAACCCCAAAATCTTGGGAGTTTTGCGCCTGGTGCTTGGTCATCCAGTCACAGAGTATACAAAAAGACCTGGGGTTGCTACAGATTCATCCACCACTTTTGCCCAAAGCCCTGAAGAATTAGGATTCCTGCATCTACTCTGTTGAGTCACCCTGATAAAAGGTCCCAGTCAAAATCCCAGTCTCCTCCTTCCCTGTGTCTTCTTCCTGAGGGGCAAGTACTCAGCTGACCAGCTCCTCCCACACATTTGTTTCTCATCTCAAGGGCCCCCACACAGCCCCTCTCAAGCTCCACCAGGGCAGGTTAGGGATTACAGTGAAGAACAGTGAGAGGGTCTGGGGGCTCTGGTGAGAGAGGACATAGAGGAGGCTGATTCCAGCCCTCACTTCCCCTTTCTCTGCAGAGGAGGAAGTAAGTTGGGGCAGCCAGCTGCCTTCTGTCTGCTGGGGCAAGGGTGCTCCAGCCTGGCTCACCTACTCCTTTTCCGGGCCAGCCCTGGCTCTGCACCTCTCTGCAACTCGAGCACCCCCTATCTAGTCTTCCAGCCCCGACTGGCCACCTGTAAGTGGTGACTCTGATTCTATGAGAGAGGGCATCCTGAGGTCAGAAGCTGGGAATCCCAGATACTGCATAAACAAGGATGCCCCCTCCCCCTTAAGGAAAAAAGGAGGAGGAGAAAAAAACTCTTCTAAAAAACTACCCAACTGGACTGGTCAGGGGAATTTCGTCTTCCTGGGGTGGGTTACTGGTAGGTTTCCAAGATGCTGCTGGCTGGAGCTCCAGGCAACGGGAGGTCCCTGCCAACTCTGCCCACCTTCAAAACTGAGGGCAGAGAAAGAATGCCAAGTTCCATGCCTGTTAGAGCTCAAGAGTTGGCTGAAAAATTGGAGTTAAGTTTGGAGTTTCGAGCAAAGTAGGCACGGTCCCTTCCCGAGCAAGGGACTTGGAGGACAGACATTCCTGGAGGCTGGGGGTGGGAGACAGTCATGGGCTCCTGGAGTTAGAAATGGGAGGAAAGGGTCATGCCTCGGCCTGCGTGCCCCCCCACTCACGTGTCCCCTTCCTCAGAGATGTAGGTGAGGGCTTCCAGCTGCTGAGGACTCAGCGTCCCCGCGGGCAGCAGCAGCGGCGAGCCTGGAGCAGGGTCTTTGGCCTCGGGGTCTCCCAGCAAGGTTAGGGGCCCAGTGAGCGAAGAGGAGTCGTAGGTGGAGTCAGCCCGTTCCCCATCCCCGTCTTCCTTCTCCGCATCCGCGTCTTCCTTCTCGGCGCTGCCTCGGGGCTGCGTCCAGGGCTGCGAGTCGCTGTCGTCGGAGGGCCCAGGGACTGGTGCCGGGGTGGGCTCAGGCAGGGAGCGCAGGGAGCGCAGAGACTCGATTCCCGAGTCGCACTGGCTCTCGTCCGCCTCGTCCGGCCCTTTGCGCGCCTCCGACATGCCCGCGGCGCCAGCCCGCCGGGGGCCGGGTGCGAGCAGGCTCGGGCTCTGCTGGGCTGCCTTTCCGGGTTCCGAGCCGTCCGCAGAGCCGGCGCCAGGCCCAGAGCGGCTTTCTTTCCGGGCTGCGGGGCTTCCGAGGGGTCGACCAGAAGTGCGGACAAAGCAGGGTCCACCGCAGGGACACTCAGTACAGCCCCGCAGCTAAGCCCGAACTGGTGCCCGCTCCCGCCCCGCCCCTCAGTCCGCGGGGAGCCCGAGGCCCCGCCCCCGCCGCCGCTTCCGGACAGAGGCCACGCCCCTCCGGAATCCCCCTCCTCCCTCGCTTTCGGTTAGCTTGGCGTCTGGGTTTACCGCTCTTGACTCACTCTAGCGCAGTCATCCTCCATTCATTCATTCAGGCAGTCTTTCCCCCTTCCTTCTTAATTTTGTTCATTCATTCATTCCATGCTTGTATTAGTACTAAATAAATATTTATTCATTTTTCTTCTTGAGCTGGGTAGCGTGTGAGAAGAACAGGTACCTTAACCCTTCATATCCTGTTTCTTTCGCTTTCTCATCATCATACCTCATCAGTGCCCAAGAATTTGCGTGAAAAAAGGGGACATCTACTATGTTTAAAGTGGGTGCTGGTAGACAATCTCCTGGGTAAATTTCCAGATCACAAGTGGGCTTCTGTCTTTTGTTTGTTTTTAAGCAGTTTTTATTAATTTATTTTTAGTCATTGTTGTACATTTTCTCTCCTCCCCCCACTTTCTCCCCTTCCCCCAGCCCACCCCTCAATGCAGACCCCTTGTTCCAGACTGTTGTCATACTGGGTTTCTGTTTTTGTTTTGGAATTCTCAGGCAGACTGGTTTCTTAAAAGCTGAGTGGCCATGGGGTCTTTTCTTCCTTACAGGGTTACAGCAACGGGTTATGGAGTGGTTAAAATTTCTGGTTACTCGTACTCCTATCAGCCAGGAAAATTTAGTTCCTCATGGTGGGGCCTGGCGGGGGAGGCCCCATACATGGTAAGCCACATTCTGCTAAGATCCCTGACGAGAACTTAGCCCCAACTCATCTTTCTTCTAACCCTCTCCTTGCTTTCCCTGGGCTCAGGGAAGCCTTAGAAATACTTCCACCCATATAGGCCCCAAACAAACGCTCCCTGATTTACCCCTGGTTTAGTCATCTCTCTCCAAGTGCCAGTGGCCTAGGGCTCACCAATGCCCTTAGGGGGTAACTCTCAAGTGATCATCTATTTTTCCCCACCTCTGAGAGAACTGAAGTGAATGTAGATAGCTATTAACCAGCTTCTCCCTGTCCCTCTTCTATATAACTTTGATTCATCCATTTGAGAAAAACCTGTGTGAAGATTTGTCTGACATTGTTCTTCCTGCTGGAATTTAAAATGAGTATTAACACTTATATAGGGGCTGGTGGCATACTCTGGTGGCCTGGTGGCCTGAAGTTTTGCTGCTATCCTAAAGATCCATGGTTCAAATCCACCAGGTGCCAGCTGCTCTGCAAGAGAAGGATGGGCAATCTCCTCCCCTGAGATCAACTGCCTCTTAAAAGCCACCAGAGCTATGGGTTGGCTCCAAGTCGATGGTATACAATAACTTTTTTTCCCCCTCAACAACAACAATTTTTTTAAAGGGTTCCCAAAAGTTGCAACACAGGGTGGTTGTAAGATAAATGAGATCAGGGTGCTGACAGGGCATACAGGGAAGCCATTTTCCCTTTGTGGTGAGGGACAGAGAAGGGTCCATTCCAGCTGGGAAAAGGAAGGGAAGAGAGCTGGGAGAAGAAAAGGAACTGGTCTCTGGGAGGAGGTGGAAGTGAATAGAGAAAAGAGAAGGGGCTGCAGGAAGATGACCCACTGCTCCCGATCTCCTTGGAGGAGCAGAGGCTGTGCTGAACCTGTAACATTGAAGCCAGGAGGGAGAACCTCATTGTGTGTTGGGGTCAGAAAGTCCAAGAAAACGGAAGCATCCCCTTCCCTTGGTGTAAGTGTGACATCAGAGGGTTTCAACTTCCTCTCCTGTCATAGTCTTCCCTTGTCTTCAAAGGCTGGTACAAAATATAGTCATGGACACTAGACTTAGACTTCCAGGGTTCAACATCTAATTATATCATCCCCATTTTACAGCTGGAAAGCTGAGCTAAGTTGATTTATTTAAAGTGAAACAAAGTGCAGAGCAGAATTATTTCTCTTCAGTAAAAATATTACAATTATTTTTTCATGAAAATTCTTCTTTTATCCAGATTCAAATTTCATGGAGTAAGAGAGTATCTGAGCTATCATATTGTTGTTGGGTGCCATCGAGTCAAATATTACTTGTAGTGATGCTGTGAACAACCCATGTGAACACTGTCCTATTCTACACCATCCATTTAATCTCTGACACACTCAAGGCCATTGCCACAGTCACCATGTCAACCCACCTGATCGAAGGTCTTCCTACATTTTGCTACCCCTCCACCTTCCCATGCATGATCTCCTTTTCCAAGGAATAACCTCTCCTAAAAACATGCCAAAGTATGTGTGAGACGAAGCTTCATCATCTTTGCCTCCACAGGGTACTCTGGCTGTACTTTCTCCAAGACTTGTTTGTTTGCTCTTTTGGTAGTCTGTGGGATATTCAGTACTCTTTTTCAATACCATAGTTCAAAGACATTAATTCTTCTTCTGTCAACCTTAGTCACTGTCTAGCATTCATATGTATTGCAAGTGACTAAAAAGACCATGGCCTGAGGCAGGCACCTCTTAGTCCTCAGACTGACATCATTGCTCCTCAATAATTTGGAGAAGTCCTTGACTGGATTTTCCCAGTAAAATATGTCTTTTATCTCCTGACTGCTAGTACCAAGGGTGTCGATTGTGGATCAAAGTAAGATTAGGTCGTATAAGGATATTGTTGTTTACCATCAAGTTGGAACCAACCCATAGCTGGCCCTTTAGTGGGTTTTCAGAAGCAGTAAATCGCAAGGGAAGAGACTGCCCATCTTTCTCCTATGGAGCAATTAAGTGGATTTTAACTGCTTGCCTTCGGGATTGTAGTGCAGTTTCTTACCACTAGGCCATAAGAGCTCCCTAAGTACTTGATATCTGAGCGAGGAGCTCTGATAGTATGGTTAAGCAGTCAGTTGCTCACCAAAAATATCAGTGGTTCAAATCCATCAGCTGCTCCATGGGACAAAGGCATGGCAATCTGTTCCCATAATGATTACAGCCTTGGATACCCTGTGGGGCAGTCCTACTCTGCCCTATAGAGTATGAGTCAAAATTGATTCCAAGGAAACATTTTTTTTTATTCTACTGAGACAATTTTTTCTTTTTTTAAATCTGAGCCAGGTGTGGCAGCCCCCTTTTTTTACCACATGAGGTCAGCATTGAGTCACCCACTACCCTCAGCGCCAGAGCCAGAGCTCTTGACAGGAGGCTATCTTGGGGACCCTCCAGGAATGGGAAGAGGAACTACTGCCGTGGCTTCTAGAAGGATAACCTGGAGACTGTGACTTAGGTCACAATGTGGCCTGGACCTACTCAGTCCCAGTTTTAGGGCAGGCCTTCTTATCCTCCTCTCTCCCTGCTGGTGTTATCTGGTCCCTTTTGTTGTGCTCCCCTCTCTCCAACGCCCACTCTAACCAGGCTCATCTTTGCGAAACAGGCCCGGTTTCCATGGTGACCAGCCGGTCAGCTGTCTTCTTGCACAGGCCCCCCTCTCTCTATCTTTTTCTTGAGCCTTTGGAGAAGGGTAGTATGTGCGAATGGAGAAGGAGGCAATAGTGATCTTTTGTCTCTAGGAAGCTCTGAGGCTGTCTAAAAGGAGTTGTACTGTCTCTTTCCCAAAATCACCTAAAGTGGAGATGGATGAGAAGGACATCTGTGGGGATGAGAGGGCGATGATAACTTAAATGGGGCGGATAAGACCTTACCTTGACTGGGAAAGGATAGCATAGGACTGCTGCTCTTTATCTGCCATGAGGACTGACTTACATAAATGGAATGAGCTGACATCAGAACAAGAGGGGCTAGAGTTAGCTTTAAAGTACGACTTCTTTAAAAGCCTGGGTAATATTGGAAGGAGCTATCAAGTGGGAGTACCCCTCTTGTCATGAAAGTGAATACTAACCCTTGCCCCTTCAGGACAACAACCTCCCTTTATTTAGGTCAGAGCGATGGAAGTAAGAAAGAGAGAGTGAGCCAGCCAGCCATCTTCATCCTGCCTGGAAAAGCAACATTAATAAATAGGGGCATGGCTAGGAGTTGGGGGGGGCAGTAGCTCTCCTAACACAAATGAATGTCAGAAGATTCTAGTTATACTTGGATCCTAGCCCCATAGATCAGATACATAAAAGACATTGCCTCAAGTTAACTTTCTACCCACAAGTGTCCCCATGGACTTCTGAATGGGAAAGATTTGAATTCTAGGTCTAGCTCTGCTATGTGCTAGTAGGTGGTTATGAGTAAGATACTTCCTCTGCTTTAGTTCCTTGTGGGTAAGTGGTGAGAAGCGTTAGTATATTTCAGACCCTAATGTGGCACATGATATACAATAAGCAGTCGATGATGACTTGTGCAAATAACAGATGAATCACACATGGCTTTTATCACACTCACTATCATAATGATGAAGTCTCTGAGTGATGCAAACTGTTAATGCTCTCAGTTGCTAACTGACAAGCTGGATGTTTGAATTCACCCAGAGGCACACAAGAAGAAAGGCCTGGCAATATACTTTCCAGCAATCATTCATTTAAAAATTCCGTGTCATAGTTCCCCTTTGACATACACGAGGTCATCATGAGTTGGTTGGAATTGATTCCACAGTGACTGGTATTTGTTGTAACAGTTGGCTTTCATGTCATCCCTCTGCACTAGACTTTGCTCCCCTTGAGGGTGGAAAATTAGGTTTCATTTTTTAACAGGGCACACAGTAGGCATCGAATATGTCTTTTGCACAGTGTCTCTAGTAACGGATGAATGCCAATTTCCTCTTCTGTTGTCCTGTGGGATGTTGTCTGTATGGGTTAGTGGCAGGAAGGGGTAAGCTGCCTGCAGTTTCTCATACTGGCTGTGGTCTGAGATGCCTGCATCCACAGCAGGTTAGAGCCTTAGAGGTTTCCCAGTCAAGTTCCTCACTTCACAGCTGAGGAAACTAAAGCTCAGAGAAGGGAAGGTATTAGTCCAAGGTCACACGACCCATTAATGGCAGAGCGAGGCATGAGAATTAGAACTTTGGCTTCCCATCTCCAGCCTAGGGCACTGCACACACTTCACTGCTTCTCTACGGCTGTTCTAGGGAAGGAAGATGGTTCAATGGAGACCAGTTCCAATGTCCTCCCCTCTGTCCTCTGTTATTCCTTTCTTACAGCTACCTTCAGTCCTTTCCCTTCCACCTTACTCCATCTCAGTTCAGCTGCTTCTCACTCCTGCCTTAAGACTTTACCACTTACGGAGAAGACATTTTTCCTTAAGGTCTCAAGACTCAATATTCTCTCCCTACCGGAGCCCAGGAACTCGGAAACTCGAAGGGATGGTGAGGGATGCTGATTGAACCTCTGGCGCCCCTACCGCGGAGGATAGATGGAGAGGAGTTGCGGCACACATCTTCCCAGCTTTGGGGGGGTGGTGCAGAGCTGGGCGCGGGAAGGGGGTGCGGGGGGCCCCTGTTGCTTCTCCCCTTTGGGGGTGGTTATTAGGTAGGCTTGGGGAAGGCGGAGTTTGGGGGGCCGGGGGCGGGGCT